TGTGTATATATATATGTGTATATATATATGTGTATATATATATGTGTATATATATATGTGTATATATATATGTGTATATATATATGTGTATATATGTGTGTATGTGTGTATGTGTGTATATATATATGTGTATATATATATGTGTATATATATATGTGTATATATATATGTGTATATATATATGTATATATATATATAAAACTGTAATTTGTATCTATATTATATAACTATAGAAGTATCTCAGAAGTATAAAACACTGGTACACACACACACACTCCTGTCAGAGTATATGGATCTTCACACAATCACGCATGGACCTCTTCTGGTTATTCACAGAAGTGCAGCCTCATCACGTCAGCACGTGTACACTTGAGTATCCTCATCTCTGTTTCCTCCAGGTGGTGAATCAGGTGCCGGTGCAGACGTTTGCCAGTCCAGTCTTCAGCTCGCTGCTCGATGTTTTGCTGTCTTGTGCCGTTTTTCTCGCCCTGACCATTGCCTGCTTCCTGTATCCCCTTGTTACCATGGCAACGCCCCTTGCAACCACACTCGGTCTGGCGATCACAGCCGCTCTGCTGGAACTGGTTTCTCTCGTTTTGTCCATTCGGTGAGCTGGACGTTGTCATGTCCTCTGTACTGTTATATTTAGATGAAATAAATCGAATTACTTTTGCAGTCATCTAGTACTCACGTAAAGTGACTCATAATTTTGATACGTATTATTTATTATAATTAAACGAATAATTAAAATCATATTTAAATTATTGAAATGAATAATTTATATAGAATAATTCAACAGTGAAATGTCTGCAAATCTCAGAATTAGTATTCATTTTTCATACTGTACATAAATGCCTAAATCCACTTAGAGCATTTAATAAATATTCCCCCGGTTTCACAGACGAGGCTTAAGCCTAGCCCCAGTCTGAGCTGTTTCAACTGAATGAAACTTGCACTGATTGATCTTAAAATATATCAGTGCCTTTGTTTTGTCTCAAGAGGGACACCAGTAATGCGTTTTTTTTCTAAGGCACGTTTATAAAAATGACTTACATGTCCTAATTTAACTGGCTTAATCCTGGCTTAGTCTAAGCCCTGTCTGTGAAACCAGGCCATACATTTTTATTGTTTTCTTTCATTTATGTACAAAAAATTGTGTAGAACTGTAATATACTGGTGGTTTATTGGTTATTTATTAACTAAAAGTAAAACAAAGTAAACATTTTCATTAGTTGAAAGAAACGTTAACGGAAATAAAATGTTTAACATATGACAGCTTGTCCGTATTGTATTATTATAATATGTTTGTTAACATATACCATATTCATTAATGGTTGATTTTGGATATTTAGTTATTCATATTAGTCAGTTTCCCTACTTTTACATTTTATTTTTACAATTACTTTTACAGTCATCTTGTGCTAAATTAATGTGAATCTTCAAAAACACTGTTCATTTAAATTATTTATATATAATGATTTATATGAAATGTAATCTTTAGCAAATCTCAAAATCAGTATCCTTTTTTCATACTTTACATTAAAATGTTATGATGCTTTTTACATTAAAAAGTCACTTGCAGAATTAAAAATGACGTAAACAAAATAGTGTCTAACTGTAATGTTAGTGGTCTATCTATCAGTCATAAAATGGATATAATGTTCAGTTTATTAGTTGGGTTTTTTCTAACTTTAATGAGATCTCCATCTTTCTCCTGCAGTATGGTGTTTTGTCTGGATGATGTACAGAATTGCACTCTGTCTCTGTTGAAGCTGGTGTCTGGCTGGCTCCCGCGTCATGTGATCGGGGCTGTGCTCGTTTCACTTCCTGCTGTGTCCGTCTTCTCCCACCTGGCTTACAGTGTGCAGCTGCCCATCCAGGTGAGCAGGAGAAAAGGAAGGTGACCTCCTTTAACTGCTGCTCAAAAGTTTGGGGAAATTAATCCTTTTATTCAGCAAAGACATATTAAAGTGATAAAGACATTTATGTAACGAACTTTCTATTCATTAAAGAATCCTGAAAAAAAAACAACACGGTTTTCACTAAAATATTATGCGGCACAACCGTTTTCAACATTGATAAATGTTTGAAATGTCAGAAATGTACTTCAGACATCTCCATCTCTACAAGATATCTTCATCTTCAAGATTGTTAATTTTCCCCCAGTTTCTTGAAGTCTGTTAGATCAAAATGTGTCTTTGAAAACCTGGTAATTGGAGGAAGAGTTTAAAGCGTCGAAGATGTTACTCTAATAATAATGTACTCTACAGGATCAAACTAAAATATGACATGCAGAACTGTACCGAGTATCTCAGAAGCCAGTGACTGATGATTGTTTAAACGTGCGCTCTTTCTTTCTCTGCTTCTGTAGGTGACCATGTTCCTGTGCTGTGCTCTCATTATTGCTATTATCCAGTACTGTAACTTCTGCCAGCTGAGTTTCTGGATGCGCTCTGCTCTGGCCACTGTAGCTGGTTTGTCTTTACTCATCCTGCTCTACAGCGCCACCACCAGGCCCAGGTCAGACATCCTCAGCCTGTTCAGCTAGCAAAGTACCAACAAACTTTACCATTATAAACTTGGTGTATTAATTAGAGGAAATTAAGATTTGCTGAAGATTTACTCACTCTCAGGCCATCCAAGATGTAGTTGAGTTTCTTCTTCATAACAGATTTGGAGAAATTTAACAATACTTTATTTCTTCACCAGTGGATCCTCTGCAGTGAATGGGTGCCATCAGAATGAGAGTCCAAACAGATGATAAAACATCACAATCCACATGACTCCAATCCATCAATTAATGTCTTGTGAAGTGAAAAGCTGCATGTTTGTAGGAAACAGATCTGTCATTTTAAATTAAACCATTGCTTCTGGCTAAAATGTTGCTTTCTCCAGTGAAAAAGTTGTCTCATCTGAATTCAGGAGATAAATATTTACAGATCAAGCACTCAATGATCCAATGATCCAAAACAGATGTAAACAAATATTGTGATGTTTTGATGGCACCCACTCACTGCAGAGGATCTGCTGGTAAGCATGTGATTGTAAATGGAGTAAATTTCTCAGAATTTCTTCTAATGAAGAAATAAACTCAACTAAATCTTGGATGTCCTGAGAGTACATTTTCAGCAATTTTTCACTTTTGGGTGAACTATTACTTCAAATAAAAACTGCATTCATTATAGTTTTAGAACATTGTACATTTTTGTGATTTGTTGGCTGTTCATGATGGTACATGTCCACCGGTGCTTAAGAATTCCATCCAATACCTCCCAAAACAACAGAAGTGTGTCTGTAAAAGTCATTCAATAAAATAATTTAATATTGGAAGCAATAAATCCCACAATCCCCCACATAAACCTGCCACTCAGCTTCTGTAGAGTGAATTGAAAATGCCTGCTCATCTCCGGTGGACATGTATGGTTGCTGTTGAGTACTCTTTATTTATGAATATAATGTAACTGTTTTCTTTTTGCAGCGCCACTGACAGATTTCCAGCATCTTGGTGAGTGTTTTTTTTAAACTTATGTCATGAAAACTATTCCTATTGCCGACTCTGATTTGAGATGACATTTGTAAGATGGTTGAGATTTTACTGTTTGAATGTAAAAATATGAAGTGACCTGCCACTCAGCTTCTGTAGAGTGAATTGAAAATGCCTGCTCATCTCCGGTGGACATGTATGGTTGCTGTTGAGTACTCTTTATTTATGAATATAATGTAACCGTTTTCTTTTTGCAGCGCCACTGACAGATTTCCAGCATCTTGGTGAGTGTTTTTTTTAAACTTATGTCATGAAAACTATTCCTATTGCCGACTCTGATTTGAGATGACATTTGTAAGATGGTTGAGATTTTACTGTTTGAATGTAAAAATATGATGCCCTTAATAAATCATGAAACATGCAGGAAGTCATTTTATTGACATTATTAATGTTACTCGAACTAAAACTAAAAGGGGCCCATATTGACATTATTAAAATTACTCGAACTAAAAGGGGCCCATTAACTGTAAGTCGACATGAAATCAATATTCACCATATCTAATTTCTATTGTACATTATTTTCTAATTCTACACTACCTGACTTTCAAGTCGTCCCAAACACAACAAACTCACACAGGAGATATGTGACAAATGACAACGATATGTGTTCTGAAATCAGCTCAAAATATCAAACATGATTAAAATCCTTCCATTAAATGGTTTCATAGTCTGAAGCTAAAAAATGATGGTCTGTGCCCATCATACACCATGTGTATTCCTGAAAATCTGCAGACTGGCTCTGAATTTCGGTAACTAGTGCCATCTCATCCAGAATGCAAATCGAGGCAAAAATTGGTGCAAAGGTCATGTAGCATATTCCAGCCTTTAATCACAGGTCAATGCATGCTTAAATGTCAGAAGGTTTTAAAAGTCTATGGCATTTAAACTGCCATGTGATAAAGACAAGGTGACAAGTCCACACACCCCTAGCACCATCCATAGTTTAAGACTTAAAACATCTTAAAACTGAAAGGGTGTTTTTGAGCACCTTCTACTTTTGGTGTTATTATTCTGTAGAACACACCACTCAAATCTGAAATCTCTTTCTCTTGGCTCCAGGAACATGAGTAACCAGAGTGCTGAAGTAGATCAGGCAAGTGAGTTGGACTCTGCGCCCACAGCGCTCGACCTGCTCGTCCTAGAGACCGTGCTCTCCTTCTTCCTCCTGCTGCTGCTGGTTTGGTTTCTCAACCGGGAATTCGAGGTCAGCTACCGTCTGCATTACCACGGAAATGTGGAAGCTGACAAGCATCGCATCAAGATCCAGACCATGCGAGATCAAGCGGACTGGCTGCTGCGTAACATCATCCCCATCCATGTTGCCGAGCAGCTAAAGGTGAACCAGAGTTACTCTAAAAATCATGACAATGTTGGGGTCATCTTTGCAAGTATTGTCAACTTCAGCGAATTCTACGAAGAGAGCTACGAGGGCGGGAAAGAGTGCTACCGAGTACTTAACGAACTCATCGGAGACTTCGACGAACTGTTGCGCAAGCCTGCATTCTCAAATGTAGAGAAGATTAAAACCATTGGTGCCACCTACATGGCGGCGTCTGGATTAAATGGGCAGCAGTGCCAAGAACAGCCACATCCGCACGCCCACCTACGTGCCCTCTTTGACTTCGCCCTTGAAATGATGCATGTGATGGACGATTTTAACAAGAACATGTTGGGTTTCAAGTTCAAGCTGAGAATTGGCTTCAACCACGGGCCCCTGACTGCGGGCGTCATCGGCACTACCAAGCTGCTTTACGACATATGGGGCGACACGGTCAACATTGCTAGCCGCATGGACAGCACGGGAGTGGAGTGCCGCATACAGGTTAGCGAAGAGAGCCACTGTGTGCTCAGCAGAATGAACTATGCCTTTGATTATCGTGGCACTGTAAACGTGAAAGGGAAAGGGCAGATGAGGACTTACTTGTATCCCCAAATGAACGAAGGCAGATCGGGGTCCACTCAAAGCCTGGAACAAGGCCAGGTGGACAGTGCCGTTGGGCATTTACAGCCCAACACACTTGCCAATACAACATCTGCTGCACCACTAAACCCTCCCTGCACCTCTCCCAATGTTGCCTCTATCAGTGGCCACGGTGTGCCTCAGGGCCGTTTATTAGGCCCGTCTCAGATTACAGAGGAGTTGCACCAAGACACTAAGGACAATTCTCCTGTCCCCAAGCTCAAAGAAAAGGATTACAAGAGTCCTTATCAAGCACTATCGCTAAGTGGTACACAACCTCCCTCAATAACACAACTGTATGCACCGTTAGCCAGACCAGAGACACCTTTACAAGGAGAGGAAGATGATGTAGATGAGTGTACAAAGCTCAGGGCAGTGGAGTGATTCAGATTTCCTCCTCACCTCGGCTGACCTTCTTCAAGAGCCAATCCGCAGATAATTTTCAGGCTCTACTTCCTTCAAGGGGCTTTTCCGACCACAACTGGTGGAGTTCCAATGAGTAGCATTAGCCTGTATAGGGCATATGTGTTGATAACGTGACCTAAATAGAAAAATGGGTGCGCTAAGCATCTGCTGTGTGGATCACAGTGTAGCACAGAGGGGGGAAATGGATGGAGTTAATATTTCTGATGTTCTCTAATTTGTTTTTTTTTTCGTTTATAAAGTGCCTTCACGATATGTAAGATCAGTTAAATGAACAAATGAAAGAGCCGTTTGAACAAATATATCAGCATGGCTTTTTGAAGAGACGTGGACAGTGAAAAATACTGGGGGGTTTTTGTAACGTATTCCACCTCTAATGCCATATTAGTTTGTTCATTTATTTCAGTATTTTCTTTTCCTCTCTCTTTGAGACAAAATGATCGAAAACGAGCCAGTTGCTAATTAGAATCAGGATTACAGGCTAATGTTTTTAAGTTATTATAATGAATATACAGTCAGTGTATTAGTTTCACCGCTCTACTACGTGGGCGGTCACCTATATCTCATTACAATAAAACCAAGGAAGACAAGGGCAGATAGATAAAGATGGGCTTCCAGCACTTCTTTCCACAATACCCATATTAATATCCAGTATATCTGGCAGCAAACAATGTAGCTTTTATCAAAGGGAAGGTAAAAGTGGCTCACGCAAAATAGCAACTCATGAAATGAGGAAAAACAGCACAATCAGCTTTATTTGTTTGAATCGCAATCAAGAAAGAATTATAATTCCAGCCTTTAAAAAAAAGAAAAAAAAAAAAAGTACACTGTATCTTTAAATGGAACTTTTCGGGATGGAAAAGGGATTTGATTTTGCTGTTAATTGTTTTATGGTGCACTGCTTTCCAGCCAACACATTCACCTTTGAGTTATTGTATCACTCCATTGGCTAAAGAAGCCCAGTGCTGACAGTATTGAATTACAATTAATTGTGCATAATGTATGTGGTTTTGTATTAAATGCATTTGTATTTATTGGGGCTGTGCATGAATCAGTGTGCAGCCACGGAGCTCAAAATATCTCAAAAGCAATGAGAAATCTCCTTTTTTTTTCACCTAACGTAACAAGCACCTAAGAAGGCCTAACTCTTGAAAAGTGCCTCAGATTCAATTCTACTAAAGTTTTATATTTAAAAAATGAACTAAAATGGAAAAGTGTGGATTTAATCTTGTTCTATGTGCGATTTGTTCTCACTTCACCACTGCCCACATTCTTGTAGGTTTTCTGCATTTTAGTTTTGAAAATCGAGGATTGATTTCAGTTTGGAGAATCATGTTGTTTGTATTTTCAAATTTTTTTTGCCATTGTCACTTGGCTTTCACTGCTTCACAGTTTTGTTTTGTTTTGTATAGAATTGAACAAATCTTAATTGGTCAAGAGACGTATATTTGAGTGCAAATCTAAAACCAATTTGTTTTGGTGCTCAAGAGTGTTAAAAATGTGCCCTTAAATTTGACTTCACATGCTTTTATCTGTGTATTAATTATTTTTGTGCCATATATGGGAATATACCAAATAATTTTATTAGTGTGGGCAGAAGCTGCAAGACAGAGCTGTGGGATGTGGGCAAGATGTTATTGTTGATAATTTTTTCCCCCAGCAGCACTTCATTCATTTGTTCTTATGCACATGAGATACAGCGGGTATTGATTTATTAGCCATTATATTCAGGCAAAAAGCATAATCTGTATACATTTGCACAGTGCACTCACTTTGTATGTACATATCATGTATTGTTTTATTTGATTTTATGTTTCAAAATTGCTAATACATGTGCATGTGCCAGATTTCGAGAGTAGAGAAACAATGAAAAGATACCAGAAGTGGTGTGTGTCTGTTTTATGTGTGGAAGAAATGTGTTATCTGTATTTTTATAATGACTCTTTAAATCACGATTAACCATTACTTATTAATGTTGTAAATTGATACTTTTATTAATATCAGAAGAGATGTGTATGTTTGGTAATATAATTTAGGACAAGAAAAAAAAAATCAATAGGCATAAACTATCAGAATATAAAAAAATGTAAGTTTTATATTATTTAAAATGAATGTAATTTACACTGCTTCTCAACAACGTGTTTTATTGCAAATTACCGGCTTAATGTAAAACTACTTATCGATTTCAAATTCTTGTCCCAATCATAGACTGTAGAAAATAAAGAATACAATTTCGTCTACGATCATTGCTGCGTGAGTGCCGCTTGAGTGCAGATCTGTGGTCGTCTAGCGCCTCCAGCGGCCGCGTCGCGCGCTGACCGCAGGTTTGATGTAGGGCGTGATTGCGCTCGCGCTCCCTCCCCCTCGGCTCCGTCTATCTGGAAAAAGAAAAAAAAACTTTTTGTATCGAAGGAATCAACAGCCGCCATCTTGTCTCGGCTCGGAATCAGGATTTCGATAGAGCACTATTTTTTATTTTTGGACGCGGAGCATCCGAATCGAGGTTTGACGACACCGTTCAGCGGAAGATGACACCTTTATATCGCCGCGAAGGAATTTTTGGCGAAAAATCCTGGATTTAATCGGCGATCGTCGGCCACAAAACCCTCGTATATCCGATTTCCCCTTCAGAGCGGCGCTTGCGTCCGTGTTTCGCTCCGAGCGGTTATTGTTTACCGGACGCTTTTGGAGGACAGACAGCGACGAGGGGACCGTTTTGCAAAAATATCTCGTTTTTATGCAACCGTGCATTTTTACACGGAGCCAGACGATTTTTGCACGGAAAGATTTGACGTCAGAAAATGGATCGCGTGCCGTTGCAAAATTAACGACACTCGCGCGCGAGCACTCCTGTGGATATTTTATTTGGGATTTAACGTTGAATTCGCGGAAAGGAGGCGGTTTCTCTCGGTAATATAACGATGATAATGTGGGTGTTGGGTGTTGGATTATCATGGGGTGAATGGTGGTGGCGACGCGGGGCGCTGTTGCTGCTTTTTTGAGAAAATCCTCCGCCGAGCCGCTCCACACTCCCCACGTCTTTCAAAAGTAAGGTAACCTCTGTTTTTCTGACGAAAGGATCCTTCGCTTTGACTTCTCACCCCCCCACCCCCACAACATTCGGCCAGAAGCTCATTTTAATCGCAATGGCTGAAAATGTGCTGGAAGGTGGCCCTCCGAGCGCGAAGCGGGCGAAGCTGACGGCACCTGCTCCGGACGCTCCAGGTAACAGTCCAGCAGGCCTGATCCCAAACCTGCTAAATACTCTTCTGGTCGACTCTTGTGAAGCACTACAACACACTCATTCACGCGCCAGCTGTCAAACGAGCCCAGAAACAGACCATTACGCTTCTCCTCTAAATGAAATCATCTGGTCACCTGTTCAAAACTCGTTTAAAGGAGAAACGAGCTTTCACTGCATGTCTTTACGTACACTGAAAGTCAGTGGTGACTGACATTATGAGGGTGAATAAATAATGACTTTGAATAGACTTGAGTTACTAATGAAACTAGCATTGCGAGAATAATGCATCTAAAGTTTAGGGAATCAAGTAGCCGAATAGTTATCGTTCAAACTTTTGTGCATTTAAACATCCAAGTGCTGTCCATCTAATAGGCCCAGGTGACATGTTTCTAGCGTGTTGCATCAGTCTGTCTGTCCATCATCACACTCATCCTTCAGCGTTCTTTCAGATCAGCAGCGCGTGGAAAGAGCTCCAGCTGAAAGTGCGTGAAGGACGGCGACAGATCCATGAGAATGTCCCAGGACAGTTTCTTGAAAGTGAAAGTTTTTGGTCGCTACATTGCGAGAATAATGCATCTAAAGTTTAGGGAATCAAGTAGCCGAATAGTTATCGTTCAAACTTTTGTGCATTTAAACATCCAAGTGCTGTCCATCTAATAGGCCCAGGTGACATGTTTCTAGCGTGTTGCATCAGTCTGTCTGTCCATCATCACACTCATCCTTCAGCGTTCTTTCAGATCAGCAGCGCGTGGAAAGAGCTCCAGCTGAAAGTGCGTGAAGGACGGCGACAGATCCATGAGAATGTCCCAGGACAGTTTTTGGTCGCTATGAAACAGTCATAAATGTGCACGGTTATTATTGCTTACTTAGAAGGTTACTATCACGCGTTACTAAGGTTCACCATTTGCATTTAGACCTTTTATTAAAACGACAACAAAAATAACATGTTTTATCATGCGTTTGACGTTGATTTTGTTGAAAGCGCTTCTTAAAAAAGTTTTCAAAATTATGAATCTTTCACAAAGCATATATTCATATCAGTTTTCCAGAAAAAGCGATTTTGTTTCACATGGAGCGGGTCGCCTTTCATGGGCGCCGCTATTGAGGTCACATGACCAACCGTGTCGCTTTACAGAACATAAAGGTGGATGTTTATCTAAACTTGACAAGGCAAAAACTTACTGAGTGCACTTTTGATACTTTAAAATATTAAACCCCCATGGCTGGCCGCTTGAAAAGCCAAACTAGTGCTTTGTGAGTGTCTCTCAGTTTGCCTTAAAGGGGTCATTTGATGCGATTTCAAGTTTTCCTTTCTCTTTGGAGTGTTACAAGCTGATTGTGCATAGATAAGATCCCTGAAGTTGCAAAGACTAAAGTCTCAAAACCAAAGAGATATTCTTTATCAAAGTTAAGACTCTGCCACGCCCCCCTAAAACGGCTTGTTCTAACACGCCCCCACATATCTACCTCACTATGTGGAAATATTTGCATAATGCCGCCCAAATGTGCACGCAAAGAAATGTTCGGCCAATCACAATGCACTGGGTCAGCTGGCCAATCAGAGCAGACTGCGCTTGTCGGAAGGAGGGACTTTGTAGAAAACTAAGCATTTGAGAGAGGCGGGGCATAGAGGACCTACAATAATGTACAGTATTTGAAAAATAGTGTTTTTTGAACATTAAAAGCATGTCAACATATTCTGTTACACCAAATACACAAAATAATGATCTTTAAAAAAAAGCATCATATGACCCCTTTAAACGTGGCAAGCACCCCTGCTTTGTTCAGTGGGATGAATTTTGCTCAAATTATGAACATAAACACAATCCAGGCCGAGTTCAGAGACATGCCAATGTGTTGTTTGTGAGCTTGCTTGTCTAAATAGTTGATCATTGTGTGCTTCGACTTGTTAACCTGTGTTGCCCAGTTAGAAGAGTACTTTGTTGTATTAGCTTGCAAACCTGTTACTTTTAGGCCCGTTTGAAGCGTCACCTCAGTTGTCATTAACCACATAAATGGCTGTAGTGGCCTTCGCAGTGTGCATGCTATAGGCCTAGATTAGCATCATGTGTGCGATGACTAGCGCTCTAATGTGTTAAAAACTGCACATACAGGCTGCATAAATTCAGCATCCCCTCGTTTATGCTAATCAGCATGTAATGCATCTGATTATCTATGCCTGCAGGCAGCTAGTGTGTTTGTATGTAAACTTGAGCTCTCGGTTTAAAAGCCGAGAAGTCTTGTTGCACCTGTAGAGACCTGTTTCTCTGGCTTCTGTGCTGTTCATTCACAAAGTAGCCTAGTGCTTGTTGGACCATCACACGCGTCAGCATCCATCTTGCCTACGTGCGTTCAGACTATATTTCTTCATGATATGAATACTTTGACAGGTGAAGTGTGTAATTTGTTTCAGGAAGTGTTTTTCCACCATCAAGCCAAACGATTCCAGTTGCGCTTGGACTTGAGCAGTGCGGATACAACGCCTCTTGTGACGTGATCATTGTTTTCTAGAATAGTAAAGTATTTTTCCGCACACCAACTCTTGAAAACTCATCATATTATGCAGTTAATATTTCGTATTTATATATATCGTATTATATATATTTGCAAGTTTAGGGATTTTTTCTTCTTCTGAAAGTTCTGTTTATAGCAGCCCTAAACTGTGCACTCTGGCTCCCATTTTCATTTACATTTTCATACACTAATGTATTTTGATAAAAAAAAATTCAGTGCTCAGTCACCTCGTTCAAAACTGGAAGAAAGCTTTGCTGATAATGTTGCTGAAGCTATCGTGAGTATAATTGTTGTTTTTGCCATGTTGACTTGATAAATATGTCAGAAGAGCTTTTTTAGTGCAAATATTTAGTAACTTCTGTTTTCTCCACAGACTCGCTCATAAAGCAATAATAAACATATGCATGTTCGAAGATAGTCATATTCACAAGTTTACATGCTTTACAACTGGATAATATTTTTCTAGTTGACAAGATCATTTCAGATCTACAACGGCTCTACCAATCTGATCGAAATTTAATTTGGTTCAGTTGGCTTTTCAATACGAGTACGAACAGATAACATATATTCTAGGTAACATATATTCTAATCCATTTACCAAAATTTGGGTCGATGTTGGAAAAGGTTCTAATAAGGGTTTAGAAAAGAACTTTAAAAAAGTTTGAGATCGCAAAAGTTGTTGCAAATTCAAACAATTGGCACATTATTTGTGGCAGTTTGCAGCAGGAATTTTTTTCTCATCTTATTTCCACAATTTTCTGCACAATTATTTTTTATTTTGCATTAAAGAATTTACTATTAATACTCTTACTGTCATTTATACTAGACTTATATAAATACAAAGTGATTATTGGTAAGTTTTTCTTGGACATCAACAGAAAAAATACAGCAGATATCACTGGCTAGTCATTAGGGCTGAAGTAAAATGCGATATGCGATACCTTGTTAAAAAATGCGATATGCGATACGATATTGCTTAAAGTGTGTAAAATCAATTTCAATTATATTTTAAAATATTTAAAAATGAAAATTATATAACCAATTTGTTTCACATTCTTTCTCGGAAAAGAAAGAATCACTACAACTTCTGAAAGTGACCAGCAGTGTTTTAGCAGTACATAAAAAGTAATGTCATTTTAACATCAGTGTGAACATACAAAAAATTATTAATGACACAAATTTTATAACTTTGCTTTCCATACACTTTAAGTACTTCTTCATATACCACAGCAAAAACTATAGTCTGAGAAAGTTCAAACATGATTAAAGGCAAGTGAACAGTCAGTAAAAAGAAGAAAAATAAATACACGATTTACAAGCATAGATCAAATAAACCGTAGTATTCAGATACTGAAATTTAATTAAGTGTAAAATAACACTGCATAGTGTTCACTGTATGAATTAAATTGAGATTAATCTTTGTTATAGCTGTTTTGTTGTTTGATTAATATTAGTGACATTCAGCAGCACGTATTTACAGGCTGCTGTCCCTTTAAATCCGACTGCACGGATCCAGTATAATGATACACATCCGATTTCTTTCTCAGCTGTTTACATTCATTTAAAACATAACCGACTACGTTTACGAGAGTGATCGTCGAGACTGGCGCTTTTGACATAATTCTGTGTGTATGTGTCTGTTCAAACATGAGGAGGAGGAGATGTGAAAGACAAATCAACTCGGTCTGAAACGCATCTCTCTCTCTCTGTGTGTGTGCGCTTTGCATGTGTGCGGCAGAACTGAAGAGACGCTGTGTGAGATGCGGCTCGACATAATTCTGTGTGTATGTGTCTGTTCAAACATGAGGAGGAGGAGATGTGAAAGACGAATCAACTCGGTCTGAAACGCATCTCTCTCTCTCTCTGTGTGTGTGCGCTTTGCATTTGTGCGGCAGAACTGAAGAGACGCTGTGTGAGATGCGGCTCACGCTTCAGGTGGGAGTCAGACAGCAAGACGAGACGGCAAAGAGTCGTTTTCTGCAACTTATTGCACAACTCTTTTTAACATCAAGCAATTCTCTGCATCAAACTAAAGCTTTGACCTTTTGCAACGTTTTGATTTAAGTAGCCTATTATTAAAATGATTTAGATATCGCACACCCTTGCGATATGCATATTGCGATATTTACATTTGCGATATTTCGATATATCGTGCAGCCCTACTAGTCATTCAACAGCCAGGTAGACAATTAGTGAGATTGACTTGGTCTTTTTTTTTGGTATTTTTATTGGCGACCATTCACTTAGCATCCTGTGTTTTACCTGTTTGCATTGTAAAAATCTGTAGGAAAATTCACTTTAAAGGTGACATCATGAAAATCGACTTTTCCAGGTTTTATGTGCCATAATCAGGTCCCAGGTGTATCTACCAACCAAGAAAACTTGAAAAATATTAACCCAGTAACTTTGTTTTGGTAAGCCTTTTTCTGCAGGCGTCTAAAAAAATGAGCACGTCTGATTTCACTCCCCTAGTGACGTTGCAAAGGGATCTCATTATAATATTACCGCCCCTTAATCTGTAAGCTTCCACCCACGACGCCATCATTTTGATTTCACAGGCGACAACGGTGTACCAGTTCTAATGCCATGGCGAAAGTTCGAGCAAAGCTTGCTAACCGTTCTGTCTTTGGCTGCACAGATTATTTAGAGTCCCAGCCTCAGAGGAGACAAGACCGCAGTGGATTTATTGATTTATTTACTGTATATTGCTGCTGCAACACAGATCTAAAATAAACATGCAATTTATTTCTCAGCTGTTTACCTTCACAGACACAACCGACTGGTTTTGTAACTCGTGTGTGTTTTTAACGTAAACTTGTGTGTGAATGAGAACTTAGTTTAGTAACGTTACTCACATGCTGTGACAGACGCTTTCTGTCCATGTGCGCTCAGAAAACCGTATATCAGAAGTCTAAACTAAAATGGTTTAAAACTAGAGGTCGACCGATTGATCGACTGGCCGATTAATCGGCCGATTTTTGGCATTTTTTAATCAATTGGCATCGGCCGATTGTGCTGCAAATTAGACCGATTTATAGGCAGGCACATCTGCGGGCAAAGACATAAGTAAATACTTGACACAAAACATTGTGCAAAACACAGGGCTTAAATACTAGAAAAGGTAATTAGGGAGAACTAAAACAGGTGTGGAGCTAATTAATCAAGAACCATGGAAACTAATAGACAAGGGAACTCAGGGAAATGTGGAGACCGAAACAGAACATAACTGTGACAGTTATATAGTAAATTCTGTTGTTGTTTTTTTATAACGGTTTCATGATAAAACGTACACCGTTCAAACTAGGCTGCTTATGTTGAAGTGTTTGGGATGTGGCTTTTAATGATGAGACCTTTTTTGTAATCAGGCTCTCAAAAAGTATATAACAATTTGGATATAGATTTATCGGCCAACATATCGGTTATCGGCTTTCAAAAATAAAGAATAATCGGTTATCGGTATCGGCCAAAATTTTCATATCGGTGCATCCCGTTCACATATTCTGCATCACAGAAATAATAGGCAAATGGTTCAAATGGTTAAAGTGACTAAATTACTAAAAAGGAAAAAGTGTGTCATATACTGAATGAATAAGGATCACACACTACCAAAATTATAGGTTCTGGAATACTAGAAAAGGTAATTAGGGAGAACTAAAACAGGTGT